GAGCGGTCAAGCCATCGAACCGTCGATTGGACAACGTTTTTTGGTCATTTTTTATTTTTTGTTTTATTTAAGTTAGAATGGGTTGTTTGTTCAAACCAGACAGTTGGACCGTTCGACCTGGGAACCGGTCCCAAAATGGTTCCTTGTCTGATTTGGTTTTAAAACATTGCTTTGAACCTTTCACATACAAGTTTTAACTTTTAAGCATCTTTTATTACTATACCGACCCAAGAATTAAAAAATAATAATTACCAAAATTTAATATATAAATATGTTAACAATAATTATGTTGATATCTTATGCATAAAAGTCTGTTGATATCATATGAACAATTTCTAAAAAGCAATCAATATATAATCTATTGAGAGCAAAGAAGATGTCTCCCCCCTTCATATTCAAATTAGAAATTAAAAAACCACCAGAATAATGATGATGAAAGTAGAGCAAGGTTTAGCTCAATGCTTTGGCTGTTCAGTAAGCTGTGGAACCCATGATAAGGTTTCACTCCAATAATAAAATACATGGGGCCCACACCTTTCATTGTGGGGCCATGAATTTATTACTAGCATGGAACCTCATCATTGGTTCCACAACCTGTTGAACAGCAAAAGCGTTTAGCTAATCCGAATTCATGAAAGTAATAGTATGTTTACAATTTTTTATTTGTATGTGCATAAAAATAATCCTTATTTATTAAACTTATTTCTGTTTATTATGATAAATATATGATATTAGAAATCTGCCCACATATTTTTTACAAAATTTGTATGTTTTTGCATATGTTTTTTTTTTTGTATTTTTATCATGTTTTAACTTCTTTGATAGATTGGAAATAAATTACAACTAATAGGGAGATGATCTACCCCAAGTGTTTAGAAACACCATGTTTTAATTTTTATTACTTAATCATGACATCAAGGGTTGATACATTTTACTTAGAAGGTTTGAACCATTAACCTACCACCAAACAAGAGAACAATTTCTCTTTTAGTTGTAAATTTGTATTTCAATTCCATCATTACTAAAAACAATTCTTGCTTATCACACTTATTTTTCTTTAATATGATTAATATAAACATTAGAGATGTGCCCAAATGTTTTCTACAATTTTTTGTGTTTTTATATTTTTAACTTTAACACATTCAACTAAAAAGGTTGAATTCTTGACCCACCACCAAATAAGAAATCAATTTTATTTTTGGGTTGGTTTTAATATTATTAATATAAAATGTTAGGGAGTTTCTATATTTTTACATTTTTGTGTCTTTATCTTTTTCTTCATTTGTATTATTTAATACTGATATCAAAGGTTGATGCATTTGACCCAAATGGTTGAGTTACTAACTTGCCATCAAGATGGAAGACAATTTCATTTAGGATTGTACACAAGTCAGCTTGGTTTGATTGCACACAATTTTCTCAACCAAATCAATCAATCAGGTTGAGGTTTTCACCGTTTGAAATCGACCAACCTTGCATGAAAACCGACCACTCGGGTTGGGAGTTAGGTTCTCAGTTTGGTTGGTTTTAAACTCAATCAACTATTGACAATAAAGAAAAAACACCTCACTTGACCTGGAACAAAAACGAGGTTGCACAACCAAATAACATTTCATGTTTCTCTTAAAAACAATAATATCAATAAAAGATTTGCTTGACTTGAAAAAAGAAAGAAGCTACACAACCAAATAAAATGATCTATATGCGGATTTTACAACAACAACAACAAAAGCAAAATGGTTTATAATATATGATGCCACATGGAATTTTTATATAAGTCAGTAATATGGGCATGTCATGTGGCATGATATATGAATGCCACATGGGATTTGAAGGCTTGTCCATGGTGTTATGCCACATGGCAGCATATATGAATACCATGTGTCATTAATTATATTCAAATGTCATGTGGCATTTGAAAAAGTAAGTTAATGATACCACATACTACGTGTCACTAAGTACATTAATGTGCATATGCTTTCATGTAGCATTCGTATATACTATCACATGGTGGTTGATGCACACATTTTAGAAAGTATAAAGTATGTCAAAGGGCCAAAAAGTGTGAAGTATCAAAAGCTGACTTCATGTTTTTTATGTTTTTTGTACTTTTATTCTATATTTCTTGAAAGTAAAAAACACCCCAAATAAGCGTGTTCCGATACTTTTCATTTTTCAAAAGAATCACCAAATAGTGATTTAGGCTACTAAAATAGCATTTGATTCCTTCACACCTTAGGCTAGAAGAGTAGTCTCAAAAAGAGTGAAAGCAATTAATGAAGGGGAGAGAGAGACGGAGAGAGTACAAATGTTTCCACTTTTGTCTACTAATACTAGACAACTATATATACTAACACGTAGTCAGTTCGGATTGGTTATTTTTGGTTTATAAACTCATAAACCGAACAAACCATTCAAGTTATTATGTATTGGTGAATCGAAACCAACCCAACAACTTGAAAAACTAGCCATATTGAATCGAGTGTTTTGTCGATTTGGTGACTTTTTTGAACAGTCCTAGTTTCATTTTTTTTGGTCAGTTTTAACAAAAAAAATGGCTTTATATTGTTAAAAGTATTGAATATATACATACATCTATTTGATAGAATTTATTGGTAAGAAAAAAATAACTTCAACATTGATTCAATGGAGGGAATGAGAGTTAATACCTTAAATATAAGACTTAAGGCGTATTCATTTGCTTTGAAGTATGACATTTGAAAGTGCAATAATTACACTAAGAGGTATATTGGTATTGGTGAACTTTTCTTTCCTCTGAATTTTGAATGCAGAGAATGTTCAAAATTTTAAAATTTATCAAATATCGATTTTGACCCCATATATGAGAGTTTTTGTTTGTCTTTTTGGGGGTATCATTGAAAAACAAAAAATTGTATAATTGCACTTTAAGAGATAAGAGATAAGAAGAAACGAACAACCATTTTTCTCTTAGGCCTCGTTCACTTTTCGGTAAGTTATTTACCCGGGTAAATGCAGTTACCTGGGTAAGTTTTTCATGGAAAACTCTTAGCCGAGTAAGTTCATTTACCCATGTTCTTTTATTTCTTATATAAATAAGGCAATGACCATTTTATCCATAAAATTCTATTATTAAAAGGGGCATTTTTGTCCCATTCAAGTGTTGGCAACTTTCCCCCTAAGTGGAAAAATTATTTACCCACCTAGGAGATTGGTATCACTAAATAGGTAAGTGATAACCAAGAAAATAAACTTTCCCTGGTCCCCACATAAATCTAAAAAAAAAAAAAAAAGAACATAAGATTCTTGGTCAATGGGAACCAAATCCCATTGACCAACTTTCCCCCTCTCAAAATCCAAAAATAGAGTGCCCCCTTAAAGTTAAAAGATTCATTTTAAGAGAAAACGAATAGGCCCTTAATGAGAGTGAATAAAATGAGATGAAAAGTAGTAATTCAAATTGTATTTTATGCCCTCACAATTATAGAGGGACCAAATTCAAAAATAGGAGTATTTTAATCAAGAATAGAATTCAATGAAAGATGTAAGAGTTAAAACTGTAAATATAAGACTTAATAATAGGAAATTGAATGAGACTAAAAGTAATAGTTCAAATTACATTTTAATAGGGATATATTAGTCTCATCTAGTGTGCTACTCTAATCAATTGCTACTTTGCTTCTCTCTTTTTCCTTTGAAAATCCTTGCATTACTTTTTCTCCCAAATTATTCAAACTGTTGCTGCCTTTTACAATCTCTACATTATCTTTCCTCTTTTATTCAGCCAATTGAAAATTAAGAGAAACAAGAGTTTTACAGTACATCCCACCTACACCCAAACAATAAAAAGAACCATTCTCAAACAATAAAATAAAATAAGCTGGATATTAATAAATGGAAAGAAGTCTCATCAACATCCTTGCAAAAAGACACAACAGTTTGGCAACAAACACCAGTAAGGCCTTCTTTTCTGGAGAATATCAAAGGTATTAATCTCCCCATGAGAATCCTGCCAACGAAAAGCCCCAATCTTGGAAGAGATTGGACAGACATCAATTTTTTTAACAGGAAAAGGCTGCAAAAGATTGGAAGCCCAGGAAGCACATGAGAAAGACTCCAAAGGGGTTAAAGACCAAATTTCATTACGAGGGCTAAGGGTCCAAGAAAATAGAGTCTAACAAATGTAGAAGATTAGTGATAGGACAAAGTTCCGATTTCCAAGTGCTTAGATTTATGATCCATTTGGTTCATGGGAATAGGAATCAGAATCGGAATGAACCATTCCAATTCCAACTCTTAGGTTGGATGGAATCGAAATCTCATTCTTGGTGGAATAATATTCCCCTTTCCCTCCCCCCCTGCTTGTGAATGAAGCCTCATTACTGTTAGATTCCAATTCCCATTTTGATTCCTGTCTAAACCAGACTATGAGAATAGACCATTCAAATTCCGATTCTGAAAGATTTTGATTCTGATTTCGATTCTAACAGCAAACCACTGCAAACCAAACAGACCCTTATTAACATATTTTTTAAAATATTTGTTTTTGGCGCATCTATATCCATATTCCATAAATGTCCAAAACTAACCTCGATACATCTCTTTCTTTCCAATATTCTGTTTCGTATATATTGAACCATCATGCTACTTGGCAAATTTGCCATTGCTGATCTGATCATTTGTCTTGGTAAGGACCAGGAGGGCAAGAAGCATTGCCAAGAACCACTATTTCAGGGCCTCAGCTAAGAGAGTCAGAGTGCTTATACTAAAGCATAAATTCAGCTCCCACTAAACAACCTGGGAATCTCCTATGGTTCCACATGCTTGCCATTATCTTAGCACAATATAAAGCTAATACAGATTCAGGTTCTGCACATTGAACCTATCAAGCTGTTTTTGAAGTTCCCCACCTAACGGACAATCTGAAGCCACCACATCAGAACATCTGCTTCTTCACATGCCTGAGATGAGAGAGAATAAACAAACTTAATAGAGAGGAGAATGGTATAAGAAATCTAAGCTCATGGAGACATGGGCATCTGCTTTATGAAAGCTAGCACCACTCAAGCCTGCTGCATATAGCAATCTCCGGGACTCATGACAGAAGACAGCATTCACAAATGACTTTCAACTATCTATACATTACATTTAGAACTCAACTTAAGAATACATACTTCCAGGGACAATGTAATCCTATCAAAGCTTCTTTGGTGTCAATCCAGTAGATTGCAATTGTCCTCTGGATGTACATGAGCGCCATAGCTGTCCTATAAACTCATGGAGAAAAGCAAATGGAATGAATGGTAAACATGTAGCAACTCTGACGCAAGAGGGAAAGAGGAAATAAAATAAGTTGGTGCCGAGGAAAATACATCGAAGTTATAGCAGAATAAATACAAAGCACACACTATAGGCTACTCCAATGTTATGAGGGGTTCTCGGGTGCATCTGGAATTTGTGGGATGGACCGCAATCGGTTATACATGTCAGAACATGCAAAAGCAAAGTCTGACATGGCTCGGAAGAGCTCAGGCAAGTGCATCTTCAAACTTCCTGCTGATTTCTCCCTCACCTGCCTGCAGAGTTTCTGGTGGGCTTCTATCTCTTCCTCCAACCTCTTCCTCAGAGTCTCGACAACAAACTGCTTCTCAGTGACAGGATCCTTGTGATTTGCATCTTCAGCTCTCTCTGGGTCCATTTCATCAGATTGAGTCCTGCGCTGCATATACTTCTGGTGCCATTCCTCAAACGCCTGTTTCTTACGTATGTATTCCTTGTTAGTCTCCTCCCATTTCTCCTTCAGCTTCATCTCATCTTCCTGGTGCACTATGATGGTTTTGATGACGGCAGCGAATGTGGATATTGCAGTCCCGGCCAGCTCATATGGAAGCTTCTCCAGATTGTCATGCCAGGCATGCAGAAGACTCTGGATTGGAGGTCGATGGACCCTTAGTGGGGAAGAAACTTTCTCCTTCAAGCTACTCTCAATAGGAATGAGGTTCAGTTTTAACCAGTTGTTGAGGGCCCGTATATACTCTTTCTGATGAGTCACAAGCTTCTGAAATTGGGAATGCCACTCTTGGACAACCCTGCACAGCTGGACAGTACGTTCATGGTGATGCTCACTTGTTTCCTTGGGAGCATGGGAGAGGTCAAGGGCTCTGAGATCAGAAACAATCTTAAGCTGACTGTCATGGTGTGCATGCATGCTTTCCCACATATTGGCCATACTGTAGTTCAAACACCAGATGGTAATTAATTCATCTTTTGCAGATGAGAAATGACAACTAATAAAGGCACAATGACAAATAAAAAAAGGGGGAGATGCAGCGCTAAGAACTAACGTAAAGGATGAAAAGAATGAAAAACAAAGAAAAATGAAAAACTTAACAAACCAATCAATGAAGCATTACAATTGTAATACCTAAAAAGCTTCTGTATTTACTTCCCTAGGCACACAATGGATCAAATATTAAAACTTAGCTAGAGCCCTACATTCTTAATAATATAGGACAACTGCCACAATTTCATCACAGCAACCTTGGAAATTAAGCCCTTAACACAAAACCTCAAGAAAATGAGAAAAGCTAAGCCCTATACTGTAACAGTTAATTGCTTTGACCAAATTCTATTGCTGATAACCATTTGTTTTAATCAATACTAAAAACTTTCATTAAAGAAAGCAATAGATATGGCGATAATACTAGAAATGCAAGAATACAAGTTTCAAGACAAAGGCTAGTAAAAAGGCAACAAAAGGAAATCTCTCATCTAATAGAAGTGAATTAGTAATAAGCTGTATTAAGAAATTTCTATTAGCACAAGCACATGCACGCATATAAAAGCAAGTTTTCATTTGTTTTAATCTTATGATGAAAACATTATTAGAGAAACTGAGAAAGCACACATACACATGAAGGCACACACACACAGCCTGGTACTTCCTGGTGCTTTATATTTGGTAGATGCTGACCACTATAGATGGGACAAGTTAGAAGATGATGATGATGAGATGCTCACCACTAGGCTACTTGTATTGGGCACCTACCTCCAGACCCCACCATTGGTATATGAAAACACCAAAGTTAGCTTTTGGTGAGGCCTAGAGAGCAGCTAAATAAATAAAATATATAATTAAACAGTAACTGATCTGTCACAACGGGGAAAAAAATGATAGATGATTGAGTAATACATACACTCCACCAAACTATTGACCTCAGGTAAAAGTTCACTCTCAACTTACGCATCCACAAGGCTGACAAGTTTTGGGTACAATTGGTGATCACGCAAATGGTCTATTTCTGAGACCGTTGAATCCATAGACTGCATGTCAACTATGTATCTTGTATGCAAGTGACTAACAGCTGCTTTGGTTCTCTCCAGTGCTTCAGTGCTAGTACCACGCTTCTTTTGTTTATTCAGCAAAGCAACCTTTCTCTGATACTCCAACTTCATAAGTTCACCTGCCTGTCCAGCATGAGTCAAATTACAGTAAGGTTCATCATAAGCAACACCAACAGAACAAGATTGTGCTTGTAAAGAAAGCACAGCTAAAGGATAGATGGTTGTATCATACGAGTATAGGATGTGAAAAGAGTGTATGTACAGCATATACCCATATGTAATTTTATTCTTTATTCTTCTGTTTTCTAATTAACTCATTTGACTGCCCGTAGGGTTATCTAAACAATTACTCTTTTTCCCAATTATATTTTTCATTCCTTGTTCTTCTTGCAAAAAGCTACATCTTGATCTTGTGGCCCTAGGGCTGTCAATGGACCAGATATCTCTCCAATCCAAATCTGATTCATTATGAATCCAATCTGTGTGGAAAACAATCCAATCCAAATCCAAAAGAATATTTATGCAAGCAGTACAACTGATACTCTGGTAATCTATCTCGATGGTGACCTCAAACTACATGTTTGATATCAATGTATAGTCTATTCTAAATCCCTTATCTTCCTTTGAACTCTTCTTTATTTCTATACACTGATTCACTTTGGCCTGGATTTTACATTGAACATGTTGAAGAAGCTCTCGACGGAGAAAAGGCTTATATAGATCTTAGTGTAAATGCAAGTGACATGGAAGTTTTGGCACTACTTGATTTGTAGAGTCAACAATGTGGAAGCTTTAGCATCACTTGATCTGGATTCCACCAAGGATCAATAAAACCATCAGCACCCTTTTCCCTCCCTCCCTCCAATTTCTGGTTCTATGTTGGGAGATGCATTGCTTCAGTAACAATGGTGATCAACAGTGATTTTCATGGATACCTTGTAGTGTAGTTTTTTTTCCCATATAATTAATTGAAATATATAAATTAAGAAGATTTGAAGGTGGACCTTGGTGCAACAGTTGGGTTGCTCCACTGCGACCTGGGTGATCAGGGTTGCCCTTTATATAAATTAAGATGATTTGGATAGTTTTCTCTCATTGTCATTTACCTTTTTAACTTCTAATAGATGCCTTTGTATCAGATATTTATCAGATGTGGAGGTGGATATCCAATCCAATCTAATAGCTAAGATAAATTAAATTATAAATCCAAACCCCGTTTAACTGGATTGGATTGGATTGGATATACCAGTCCATTGACGGCCCCACTTGTGGATGTAATACCAGGCAACAGGCACTGATCCTTATAAACAAAAAGGACTGGTAAAAGAACTGAGACAACAAGAAAAGCATCATATCAATGGTTTTCAATGAACATCTGTGACCTAAAAAATGTAAGGTACCTCAAGTGAATGTAATCTGACATACAAATGAAATTATGGCCTAGGTGCAGCTTTAGTTTTCTACAAAGAACACTACTAATGAAAAAACACTGACTAAGTGAAAGTATATCAATGGCTACCAAAGGATAAATTTTGCAGACACAAGCCTACCAAAACAGGAAATCCCCACTAGGATAATTTTTGTGGAAAAGAGGAAATGCCAAAAATGAAAAATGATTTATAACCAATAGATAAGGTTTGAGTATGATATTAACTCACCTTAACTTCATCATATAGTTTTTTCTCCCATGCTAGCAACTTATCCAAGACAGTAGCATGAGTTTCATATTCTTCTGAATCAAAATCATTCTTTTCATCATCAGGATTATGTAAACCTCTGAAAGACCTATTCCATGTGATAACACGCATCACTCTTGCAGCATGGTCAATGTGTCCTGCACATATAGCAAGGTATGCATATGAAAAACTGTTGCATAATAAAATAGAAATACACTATGGATACAGAATTGAACAAAACAACCAGCTCATACTACAAAGCATTACAAAAACTGCATGTACTTCCAATTTATGAGCATTATTTACATTTTAAATCTGTGTTCCCTTTCTCAAAAGTATTTTCAATCTGTGTTGCATTACCAAGTAATGATATGAAAGTGGGACAGAATTGACAGTTGAAACCACTTGAACCATCCTACATGAAAATCATCAAGTTGGATGGCTTACAAAAAAATTCTCAAAGGGTGGGTGAGAATAAATTCCTACATGGAATGCATGTATTGCTAAGATGCCTCTTCAATATTACCACAACCGCTGCCACAATGACCCTCCTGTCTTCAACAACCAAGTAGTACCACTTAAGGAAACTCCAATGTGGTACTGGTGCAAGACGTTCAGACTTTGAGAATTAACCCTACAAGTTACATTACTCATACCTTGAGCAAGAAAGCAATATATGCACACATAAAGAAAGGGTCATTTGCCAATGTTGGCCCCACCTATCCAGATTTTTTTTTGGTGGGGTGGGGGGTGGGGTCTATCGGTAGGTCCACAGCAGAATTCGAATTGTCGGGTAGCCTTGAACGGGAGGCAAAACTCTGGTGGGAGCTGGTTAACAAATTGCTATTTATTTTCAAGTCCACCCACCCACACAAGTCATCAATCTTTGCACCAAAGTTCCCCTTATACCCCTGAAATAAAATAGCCTTTGGTCGGGCCCGCGAGGTTTCTTCTTCCCAAAGCTTAGTGTCTTTTCTGGCTTCAGGTTCTTCCCGCCCATTCACAGCAATCTCAGTCATTCATTCGTCAAGCCTTTAATCGGTAGTTCCACGCCACGCTGGAGTTCTGAAGGCTACACTGCTATCTTGTCCATTGCATTTCACCAACAATTAACGGTCAATTGGAGGGGAACAGTGCTCCACAACTGGCTTTTAAGTCTCCCGCCATCCCTTTTTCTTGGCAAAGCTGGGTAAGGGTGTTTCGATTTCTTGTGTGTATTTTTGGTTAATTTTTGGTTCCCCTTCCACTAGTTGTTTCACATTGCATTTGCATATATGTTTGGTTGAGAAAATTTGATTGTCATTGATATTTGTCGTTGTGTCTTATCTAAGTAGCAGAAGCTCTAATATCTCGTTAAGCAAGTATTAGGCATGTATGTTGTATGTGGTCAACCGTGATGTGCACACATCTATTGAGTTATTAAAATGGAAATTTCACAGTTCCTCTCCCATGGAGCGTGGAAAATACATGGAATAATGGATCAGAAGTAACCCTTGGTGAACTTTTTAGGACTAAAACTCATGATTTACTTCCTGTAACCCTAGGATTTATGAAGGCAACAAGAAAGTTGAGTAAAAGTTTTCAGCATGGAAATACGTGAGAGCTACTTATGTTTTCTTCCTCTTGTTAGAGCATACTTAATGAATATCCCTTTGTAGTCAAATTTAAGAATTCGAGTAGAAACTATAATTTTTTATCAGAACAATGTCATCTACATTCTGGGAAGAGAAATGCACACCCTTTGGTAGTTCAATACCATGTATTGAAGTTCTCTGTTGGATTGATTTAGGTGGGAGTTGATTTTGTGGTTTAGGTAAGGAGTGATAGGTGGGATGTCACATTGTTTCCAGTTAATTGAAACGAAATTTTTTGTAAGGAGTGTCTTTGGAGTTAGGACCTGTTTGTTTCCTTTTAACTCTTATCTCTTAAGAGGAATCTTTTAACTTTAAGAGAAAAATGGTTGTTTGTTTCCTCTTATCTCTTAGCTCTTAAAGTGCAATCATACAACTTTTTGTTTTCCAGTGATACCCCCAAAAAGACAAACAAAAACTCTCACATATGGGGTCAAAATGGATATTTGATCATTTTTAGAATTCAGAATTCAAAACAACATTCTCTGCATTCAGAGTTCAGAGGAAAGAAAAGTTCATGAATACCAATATACCTCTTAATGTAATTATTGCACTTTCAAATGTCTGACTTCAAAGCAAACGAACAGGCCCTAATGTATTCATGTTATGTTCATTGCAGAAAATGTCAAGTGGCAACATTGGGTCAAGATGCTCCACGAAATGGTTGAAAGAGTTGCTAGATAGTCTCCCTCTAAAATCGGAGAACAAAGTTAGGTTCCAGCAGACCCCACTAAATGTTCCACATGTGACAGTTGAAATTTCTTTACTCAGTGAGCTTGTTTGTTAGTTCATGGGACTCGGACACCCACTGCTTTAATGTATGTGGGAGGAGAATCCAATGTTTGGAACATGATGTAGCTTTGATAATGAGGCATAGCTTGAAGGATAGCACCGTTGACTTCTCAAACGGCCTCCCCAGTAAGAGATTGTTTATGGCATCCTTTGACTTGGTAGAAAATCATGCAGGCTCTGTAGAGTTGGATGTGGTTTGGCGCAAGCTAAAGAAGATTGTTGGTTGGGATGGTGACAAGTACATTGAGGAGGTTGTGAGGTTGATCATTCTATTCCTTTATGATTGTGTATTGTTTCCTAAGGGAAATTTGAGGGTAAGCTGCTTCTAGGCCAGATATGTTGATGATTTACAACATAATGGTGATTATGCATGGGGCAAATGTGTGCATGAGTACCTCGTAGGTGGCCTTGAGAGGATAGTATCCAGTGCCCGAGAGGGGGTCGAGTACAGGCACATGTACCATGAGTGGAAAACTATTTGGATGCAGCATCACACTACTGGTTTGTTAGACAGTTTTGTATGCCCTTAGCTTCAATCAGAATGATGTACTTTATGAGTTTATTGTAAATGAATAAAAGTGCATATTTGATTCA